TATTGATGGAATCTCATCCCGAACCATCAAAATGTCCAAAGAGTATAGTTCAGTACTCTCGTATATTTTTAATCTAAGTTTTGAAACAGGGGAATTCCGTTGTAATTCCGTTACGATTCAACAGAGTTGAACAATTATAGGCCCATTTCACTGATATCCGGCATTGCGAAAATATTGGAAAAGTTAGAAAATCTAGACTGCTCAAGTTTTTAAATTCAAAAAATTGTTTAAGTTCAAACCAATATGGATTTCTTGGAAAAAATCAACCGAGGACGCCTTACTATCGTACCAACATGTACAATGAAATCAACGCAAAATTAAATACGGCTAGGTGGGAATTTGAGGTGTTGCCAAACTGATTTACAACTTGTTTTGTATTCTATATAGGCTAAAATACCAAACCTCGGATTGATGACGCGTTCTTTTTTGTTAGTCAGACCTTGACGATTGTGATTTTTTGGCATACCATAATCTATTAAAAAATGCCTTTCTCCGCTCGATTTGAGATTTACGCAAATAATGAACATACTGGGTACTGGGTAGCACTTCAACTACGAGGGACAATTTAAAAAGCGTTTGATCGAGCGAGAAGGTCATTTCCGGTTGACGAGTATTGACCAAAATTGAATTTAATGTGACACAAAAATGTTCGGACACCACCCCTTAATAATGAGTTGCATCCCCTTTGGCTTTAATGACAGCCGGATTCGTGTAGGCATGGTCTTCAAAGCTTTACATTCATCGGTGCCAAAGGTATCCCAAATTTCTTGTAATTTGTCCCTCAAAGAAGCAATATTGCGTTGCAGGTGATTGCTTCATTTTATACCACACTGTCTCAATCACATTGAGATCTGGGCTCCTTGAGGGCCAATCTAAAACACTAATATTGTGGTCTCGTAACCATTTCTTAGTAGTTTTTGCCGTGTGGCATGATGCTCCGTCTTGTTGAAATACAAAGTCTGCATCAGGTGATAATGTCGCAAGTGAAGGCAATAAAACTTTGTTCTAAAATTGCTTGATATTTCTGAGCATTAACATTATCATTTATAAAGGGCAATTGTCCCAGCCCATTACACCACTGGGGAATTTTACAGAACGCTTTAAGCAATCTCCAAAACCGGTTACACTTAAATGAGGTTTTAACCTATCTTCCATTGTTCCTTCCGACTACCACTTGTTCCGGTCGATAGCTTACCGTTTAGCTGACAAATGCTTTCGTTCTTTCAGAGAAGTTAAAAATTGGAAAGATACGTGGATCCAGGGGCGGACTGGCACGGGGGGCGGGTGGCGATTACCACCTGGCCTGTAGATCATAATGGCCCGTTGGAAATTTATAAGTATATGTGCTGTATTTAGTTTCTTGCACTATTAATAAATTATTAACACGTTTCTCTAATTGGGGTTGATGTTAGGTTGTTAAAAAATTCTGTTTTAATTGTAGTGTTTTACAATGAATTTATCATTTTTTGTCGTAGCATGAAAGTGCTGAAATACAATGATAGGCGACGCACCTCGTGTGGATTGTATATTTTGTTACTTTTAATTATCAGCTTCAATTTAAAAAAAACTGTATGGTAATTTATTTTCGAGAAAGGAGTACTTTAAAATGTTTTTGTGCAGTTACCCAGTCCGTGGATCGCATCAAAAGACACATCTTTTTCTCGAGATGGTATCCGATTAAGATGGGAAAAGTAGTAGCTAGCGATGGACAATATTTTGAATAAAGTGTCAATTCATTTTCTTAATCGCTTGATTTTCATGAATAAATTCCGGTTTTTAAGTTGTCGTCCTATGTATCATTGCGCTGTAGAAAGGTTGAGGGGGCGACAATAATTTCACTTTATAGTTTGACAATTTTTGCTTGAAATTTTATCACTTAGTCAAGTAAAAATGATTAGTATTTTGTATTGCTTTATGTGTATTTCTAGAAAATAAGATTACGCTCGCTATATTATCATTTTTAACGTCTTTATCATAATCTCCGCCATCATTTCCAGTAAACTATTTGACTACTCTTTATTTGATCTATATTAGGTTTGCCTATTCGGAATTTAATTCCGCTCTTCCATCTCCTATAGGTTTCTTCTGCCTGGTGTGATTCATTCTCAGTTCCCAGCCTCCAAGTTCTCATTTGTTTCCTGATCTTTTCATTTAGGGTCGCGTTTTCATGTTTCAATTATATGATAGAGAACTCCGTAGGTGAATACATTTGTTTCCATGGAAATTAACTGACACATAGATGTTTGGTGTACATTAGTAAAAAATCAATTTTTTTATGTATCATAATTTGCCGTTTATAGTCTATATATCTCAATGCCCCAAAATTTCATTCGTTTATAACCAGTATGGCTGCAAAAACGGTTTATCGCCATTTTGGTTAAATGACCGAAAAGGAATGAAGTCACTAATTTTTTCAGACAAAGACTGTTAATGTGACAATGCGTCTTTTGCAAATCGTCTCCGATTACTTTTTTAACTTATTAATATTTAGCCCCCTCTCCTTTTAAATTTTAAATCGTTTGTTGGTCCTCTGTTTACGCTTATCTACAACAATTATCTGTATCTGTTTGTCATAACATACGATAAAATTCGAGAACGTCACTTTTTAGCGCATTTCCACACAAAAAATGCGTTATTGTGGCCACTTTGTCTTTCCGTCCGTCTGCTCGTGCGTTGAGACGCTACTAGTTCTTTATCTTAAGAGCTATTGTTCTACTTTTTTCGCTATTTGGTTCGTTATGGTGTCGAGGCTTGCACCAAGGAAGGAATTTTTTCTCAGTTTATTGCTAAAAAAGTTATTGTAAAAAAACCAAAAAACTGTTTTTTACATGTTCCATAATGTTACACTTTTGCCGTTTGTATTGCTGTTTGTCGTCTGTCTGTTGGTCTGTCCGTCTGTTCCTTTGTCTGTGTGTCCCTCTATCTGTCCGGGTGAACGATAAATTCCGATAATTTCCGATCGCTTTGAAATTTGGTACACATGTTCTTAGTTAAAAGTAAAACTGATGCTTATTTAAAAAATTTGTTTTGAGCTTGCGCAATCCAATTTTTTCACTTGTTAAGGTATTTAAATGGAATTTTGTGTGTAGGCACGTCAAATAAAAGTAAATCTAATGCCCATTAAAAAATTCAACCCTCTATTATAATTTGGGAATTAGCATAGCTACTTCGTGTGATACTGTATGTTTTGCAGCTTGGGCACATATTTATTACAATTTTCAAGTTCTGCCGTAATTAATTGGTGATTGAAAATGAACTATTACGTTTAGCACATATTTTCATAGGTCCAAACATATTTAGATTTAATAACTCACGTTAAAACTCATATTTTGAAGTAACACTCGAAAATAACATTCCTACCGATTAATTACCTATATTGAAATATTTGGAGTTTTTAATATCGGTGAATTGCGCTGACGATGAATTCGCTACACTGTGAAGAGACCAACGTGTTTCATGATCATTACGCGAAGGAAAACCCCTGAAAAAACTCCAGACAGTCGGCAGCGAGATTGTCACCCACAACCCTTCGAATAGCAGTCGCAAAAACCTGCATAGTTGCTACGACGTGGTCAATTCCACACAAATTCCGAGATTTTCAATGATTCGGAAAGGCAAAATTTGAATTAGAGGAAAAGAGACATTTTCCATTTGTTGTATTGTAAGTAACATTACGTTTAAACTTTAAAAAAAGTACAAATTTGCCATAAATTGAAATGTATGCAAATTGTCACAATTACAGATACGTAGGTACATTTGAATATAAATTGTATAGAAACAGAAAAATGCTTCACGACAGTTCGTTGGAGAAGTTTGGTATTGGCATTGTGTGTAAATTGGGACTATTAATAACGGACAGTTGGAGTATCAATATGTCCAATCGGATGAGTACGCATCTACATAATTCATGTATTTAAATATCCGGCCGCTTTGATTATTACCTTTATCATCCTATCATCGCTGTATGAATACGAGGCAAATCCTGCAGCATAGGTCCTGTCAATATAGCTTTTACTGGACTTTTCCCCCCGATTACTCGATTTATTCGCATCGTTTATCTGTCTTTGCAGGGTACATTTCATGCTCCTGTCCCATTTTTGTTTACTTTTTTGCCTTTATGAGGAAGCAACGCGACTGAAATTTCGCAATTAGCGTTGCCGCATCAAAAAGTGACACCGTGAAAGGGTCAAGTTAGTGATAATTTCTATTGTAAAGCAACTCGGATTCGTAATTTATTTCAATATATAATCGAAGGCAGTCGTTTGGTTGTAGCAACAAGCGGCAGCGTGTATCTCGCATTCTCGGGACCGAAAACATGCAGACAACTTATTTATGTTTGAATTGTTTTCAAAATGCCGACATTTTCCCACTACTGTTTGGTTCTTGAATGGACTTACCTGTATAGGATATTTTAAATATAACCGATTTTGGAAAATCGTTTACATTCGTAACGTTGATTTATGCAGTGGATCTTAAAGAATTTTTCTTCGGCTTTCGAATTTGGTCTGACCCTCGTAAACACATTTATATTAAACTTTCTATAAAAATATTTGATTAGATTGGTGAAGCTTTTGCTGTTATTTATGTTAGCGGGAACGTGCTCATTATCTTATATCTGTAAGTAAAATCCTTCTTGGATGCAACCGTCCATTTCCTATTTAACATACAAGAGGAAGCAATTCGGCTCCAATCTTTGGCTTGGTATGTGGCGGTGGCCATTCGCCTTAATTGATTTATTGAAAGGAATTGTGTGATTTGTCGCCATGACTTACCTAGTACATTTATTCTTAAAAACCGGACGATATCTTATAGCGCGCATTGATGTTTTCGGCGATAAAGTTTTTGAAATCGAACGGGCATTTGTTAACTTTTAACCGTTAAACGCTTGACTTGTTTTAATATTTGTATAGCGGTATATTACATAATCGGTGTGCAGTGGGTGGAATGGATTATTTCGTGGTTTCATGATATTGCATAAACATATTCCTTTGTTACAGTAGGCCCTCTGCTGGGAGGCAGCTTCGGCAGCGGAGCTTACACATTCTCTGTGCCTGGGCTACCGCCTGTTGCACATGCCATCAACAAGACTAGTTTCTTCTTCGACCATGGTAATTCAAATCTTTGTTTAATTTTATAACTGCATCTAGTTTGTACGATTTACCAACCCTATTACACGAACTACGGTGTAATACAAACCTTACAAATAACACCCTTATAAGATATAATCATACACCCACACCTCACAATATCATCAAACTTACTGTATACGTGTACACGGAAAGCGACGCTTTCCTTAGGGTGTCAAATAGTATTACCCCAATATATTACTGTGCGACGAAGTACGTTGACATTCATCTACGGTAACTTGCACGGATTAGAAAGACACCCTTCCCTAAACAGCTCTTTTTATGTTCTTAATAGTTAAATCACACTTCCTCGGACAATTTGCGAAATAAATTCGCCACTTAGGAATATCATTTTACTAAGATGCATGTTACACAAAATTATATTTAAAATTCATCTACGACATGTAATTTATATTAGGTACTTTATACGACCTACGATCTTTTTACGTGTTTTTTTAATATTTATTAGGTGCATGTAGGTATTAATTTAAGAAAACGTGTTGGTGATTTTAGTAAAATTACTAGACTAGGATTGCGAAATTATATAAGGTCCGTGTGCAGTAACTATTTTTAAGAAACGTCCGATCGCTTTGAAAATTGGTACACCTGTTCTTAAGGATATAAGAAAGGTCGCTATTGTTTTTCAACTGGATACGTGAAGATCTCGAGGATCGTTCGGTATTCAGTTGTATCGTATTTCTATTTAGCAACTTATGGTTGCGATTTCGACTGTATATCTGTGTGCTATAATAGTGGGGTCGCTTAATGTAAAATTTTTAGATTATATTTACCAGCCGAATACAAGCACCAAATTTTGCATGAAGCTTCCCGCGATCGTATCAAACAATTTCCGAAGGGTTACCCTTTTTATAAGGGTTCGAACTCCTGAAAATTGACATTTTGCAATTTTTCCCAGAAACTTGAATATTTACAAATTTGTTCTTCACTACAATTTTGTGGGCCGTGAAAAGAACTTTAAAATGGTACTATGGGCTTGGAATGGCAGGTTCCTTATGGCCGCTTGTAATCCAAATACTTGCTTGAAAAGTGACGCGCTCCATTATATGGTCATTTTTTAAGCAAGTATTTGGATTACAAGCAAACAACCTATGATTCCAAGCCCAAGTGACTTGGGTTGAAAAATTGACAACAAAAGTAAGAGCCACTGTGGATCACAATATTGGCTGTACCGAACTTTGCAAGACATTCAAGTGCGGAAAAGCAAACATTGCGTGCACAACACTTTGTAAGTACAATTGCACTAAGTAGGCAAAACTGTAGTAAAATTAGTACTTATCGCAATCGCAGTTAATATGAACAATTTCCGGTTTACACATCAGCAACCGGAAGTGGGAGGTATACAGTGTAGTGTAGTAAGACGCAATAGATTCAATATTTTTTTATTTGGCGAGATACGAAAAATTGGCCAAATATAATGTTATATGTGACATTATTGGGACTTCCGGTATCATTTCCGGTTTAACCGGAAATCGATGCAACTTTTGTTTTTCAAATGCAATGCCCATGTTTTTTTAAGATACTTGAAAAGAGCAACGGAGTTGTTGCACAATAACATAAAATATGCATATCGTTGATATACACACAGAAATTGAGTGATTCAATATTTAGAAAATTTAGCATGCCGTGTGCTGTCAGGATGCGCGGTGTGTGTTGTGTTACACGGGTAGATCGTATTGCGGAAGAGTGAATCTTTAAAACGAAGTTGATGTAGGTCTTTTCTGTGTGATATGACACACGGCATACTAGATTTAATAAGTTTTCTAAATATTGAATCACCAATTTTTTGCATATCCACCATATACATATTTTATGTTCTCGAACAACAAATTGATTGCTCTGTTCAAGTGTCTTTGAAAAACATAGGCATTGTACTTACAAAATAAAAGTTGTATCTATTTCCGGTTAAATGGGAAGTGAAACCGGAACTGTCAATATGCGATCGGATAGATCATAATGTCACATATAAAATCATATTTGACAAATTTGTCGTATCTCGCCAAATAAATTGCGTAGCTCAGATGAGCTTACGTTAGAAGCTCTAACTTTGGCTACAAGGGTCCTGGGTTCGAATCCCAGGTAAGGCATGGCTGTTTATGATTGTACAGGGTGTTTTTTTGGGAGCTTTAGTTAAAAGTTTCTGGGAAAGTAAAATAGGTAGGTTTTTGAAAATTTGTACTTAGGAGTTACTCTGAAGGCCGAATCGATGTAAAATATTTTCAAAATGGCCGCACTTCCGGAAACACCGGAAGTAGATAGTAACTTCGTTATTTTAAATGGCAACCCCTATTTTTTATTGCATTTTTGGATTCTATGTGAAATTTCAGTTCTTTTGATACCCATATGTCGATATCTGCCATTTATGGTTTTTAAGTTATTTTGACTTTAAGAAAAAAAATGGCGGATGCAGATGGTACCTTGATAATTGATTACTTGAAAACGGTTGTAGTCATGGCAACCTATTTTTATCAGTGCATAGAGAATGAATAGGGCTTTCTTTTAGTGCACTTAAAAAAAAGTTAAGTTGCGTACGACCGCCCCTATGAATATCCAAATTTATGAAACTTCAAAGACTAAAAACTCAGTTTTTTTTAAATGGAATGACCATGTTCTTACTATTCCATGAGATAGAGAATCGAAATTGGCATATTTTGACAATACATGTTCCTATAGCTATCTTTAACAGTTTCTGACTTATTCCCATTTTATTGAATTGACACTATTTTTTTAGGATTTTCTTTTTAGTAGTCGGCCATGATTCTATAACAATTGAATTTTAAACAAATCTAGTGACACTAATCCATCACCCACTGTTATAGGTTAACATAAGTTTTTCAAAAATCGAAAAATGACTCGCAGTGGTTTCACCTATTTTGGAATTTAATTGTTATTTATGGTGAAATGGGCAGAATCCCGGCGCGTGCTTTCCGTACATTCACTCAAACACTGGAACGAAATTGTATGAATTTTGGAAATTTTGTACCCCTAATGCACTACAAACCGTTGAAGCACAAGTGATACAAAGCTCTACAAGAGAATATTTAAGAAAATGAATTGAATTGCAAATGCAAGATTAACAAAAATTTAAATTCAATGCAAAATATAAAAAACTTCGTTGAAACATTTTTGGTATGGAATTGTTGCTAGAACAGATATCGCATTACCTCTCTTAATTTCCAGACTTATAAAGTTGTTTAAGAAATTCAGTTGAACGACTCTGTTTAGATTTTTCAAAAATTTTCCGTCCTATATCCTTAATAAATGAGTTATTTATTAATGAATTATTTAGACTAGAACTAGAATCAATGGTATTAAAGAATCCATTCCTTGATTTGTTTAAAATTCGATTGTTATAAAATCATGGCCAACTACTAAAAAGAAAATGCGAAAAAAATGGCATCAATTCCGAGATCAATTCAATGAATGGGAATAAATCAGAAACTGTTAAAGATAGCTATAGGAACATGTAATATCAAAATATGCCAATTTCGATTCTCTATCTCATGCAATATTAAGAACATGGTCATTCCATTTAAAAAAACTGAGTTTATAGACTTTGAAGTTTCTTAAATTTGGATCTCCATAGGTGCGGTTGTACGCAACTTAACTTTGTTTTAAGTGCACTAAAAGAAAGCCCTATTCATTCTCTATTCACTGATAAAAATAGGTTGCCATGACTACAACCGTTTTCAAGTATCAATTATCAAGGTACCATCTGCATCCGCCATTTTTTTCTTAAAGTCAAAATAACTTAAAAACCATAAATGGCAGATATCGACATATGGGTATCAAAAGAACTGAAATTTCACATAGAATCCAAAAATGCAATAAAAAAATAGGGGTTGCCATTTAAAATAACGAAGTTACTATCTACTTCCGGTGTTTCCGGAAGTGCGGCCATTTTGAAAATATTTTACATCGATTCGGCCTTCAGAGTAACTCCTAAGTACAAATTTTCAAAAACCTACCTATTTTACTTTCCCAGAAACTTTTAACTAAAGCTCCCAAAAAAACACCCTGTATAGTGGGTTGAGTGGGAAGAATAGCAAATTGCTAACACTCCGCCCACTATAAAATAAAGGCAATAAAAAAAAAATGTAAAATTGTAATAATGGAAGTTTGTGAGAAAAATGGCAAAATGTCAATTTTCAGGGGTTCGAACCCTTATAAAAAGGGTTCCGACTAACCCCTCGAGATGGTAACCCTTCGAAAATTATTTTAGGTTCTCGCAAAGTTTCATGTAAATTTTAGTGCTTGTATCCGGCTGGTAAATATCCTAAGCAACCTAACTATAACAGGGTGCACAATTTCCGATTGATGTAGGAAATCTATACTATTTTTTTAAAGAACAAATTTACTTAACCGTTTCCGCGAATGCATGTTAGAGATCAAGTAATCTCCTACACTCTTTAAAGGAAATTTTGATCCAAAAGCAAACTGATATATCAGGTCCTCGGTCAAGATTATATGTGTTAAAAACGTTTTTTCAAACACAAATTACTTACTACAAATATCGGAAGGATGGGAACAGAGCTGAGCAGTATTCGATTTTGTATATACTTTTTAGTATTCAAATCCTTTAAAGTATTCAAATATATACTTTGTAATTAAATACTTTTATGGAAGCAGTATTTGTATTTGTAACTCAAATACTTTCACAAATATTTAGTATTCGAATACTTCGCAAGGTATTTGAATACTTTGAGAAATATTGGAATACTTCGCATAGTGTTTGAATACTTAACCTTCCTTTTTTTACCAAAAATCGACTGCACCAAAATTTCTCGGGAAAACACTTTTTCTTATTAATTTTGGTGCGTAGAATAAAAAAAAATTCGTACTTTTTCGATCAGACTTCTCAATCAAAAGTTATCGACTAGAAACCAATTTCGAAAGAAAATTCAAAGGGCTGTAACTTTTGAACTAGTAGCCCAATCTTGGAACTGTTTGAAATTATGGATTCT